TTAAGTGGGCCGGGTCCTCCCAAAGCCGGGTAGGCCGGAAGTGAGCGACGGTGGCGGTCTAGCCTCCAGAATTATGTCAGGAACTCGGTGGAGTGAAACTCTGCCGTCGGCTCCTTGCTAACTATAACCGGACGCTGGCACAACAATAACATCTTAGGTTATCTAAGTGACTCATATATCATGTTAACCTGAGTAGTGAAAGACCGCGGGGCTTTGAAAACGATGTGCCGGGAGTTCGCTGCTCTCGCCGGCTCAGGTATAGCTCAGACAGCTGTGGCTGCAGAGGCTTGTGGTCCTGTAGAAGTTTGTGGAGACGCTGACCTCTGACCTCTGTACACACTTTGCTGCTCTGTTTGTCATCGCAGCCGCTCGTTTCTAATTGTAGTTTACTCATAATATGTTAAAAATGAGGATTATATATGCTATGCTAATTGGCTAATGAATTATGATTGTCAATCACTGCCATTGAGCAGTCACCAAGGGCTTTCGTTCCCATGGTGACAGGGACGTAGCTCAGTAATGCCGGCTCTCCGGCGCTCCGAGTCTCTCCGAACGCCCTAAACACTGTCCAATCAGAGGCGCAGTAGGCCGGGCCATATGTCCCAGAATTCCTGTCGAGTCATTTCAAAGTAAAAGCCGGAAACACGCACGCTGCGTAGTTTGTGTTTGTAAAAGAAACGCCGCTGCACCTTTTACGATCCTCCATCTACAGCTTCAGCTCAAACACAGTCATCAGAGGGGGAAATGCATCTCCCCGTCTGTCCACGCCACTATTTTAGGTACACTTGGTGTTTCACGGTCATTCAGAAGGCTGATGGACCTGTGCAGCAGTAAAACCTGAGGCGCTCCAACACGTGATTAACACCGCCTCCTCTTCCTCCTGCTCCAAACACCAGTTAGATGTACTCTTCTTTCTTTGTTTCACTGTAATTAGGTCAGCGGCTGATTCCTCGCAGTGACTGTGGATTAAAGCAGATCTGATTCATCACAGCGCGTTTCTGCAGAGGTTCAGTGAACACACGAGCAGAATGTTGAACAGTATCCAATCAGCAATCAGAGAACATCAGCCATGTGGTCTAAAGCTCTGTGAGAGCCTCATTCAGGGCTTCCATGAACAATGATGGGAGACTTCAGTCAGTCCGGGGTCCTCAGAGGAAGCTTCAGCCTACAGAGGCACACGAGTGCTTATTGACCACAGGAACTGCAGTTCCTCTTATGTCCACTGGAGGCAGTTTAGACAAATGTTTAATTCATCGTCTGGGTGAAAATGTTAGAGTTTGTTTTCATCAGACTACAGCAGCACCACCGCTAAAAACTGCAGCTTGTTTTAAGAAGCTTCGAGTCGCCTCACATTTCTGTTTGCATCTTCTGCTGCTCGTCTACAACACCGACCCAAATCTGGCTCCTCAGGGAGCGCTCAGAGCGACCAGGAAGGAAAACAAAGGTCAACGAGAACCGAGAACATGAAGCCTGCAGAGAGAGAAAAGGTCAGAGAAGGTGTGTGAGGTACACGACGTCCACAGCGCTGCAGCGAGACGGCACGAGAGTGTGCGTGTGTTAAAGACCCCCGAGCTTCACTTTTAAAATAAAACCAGTTTAACTCGACTCTCAGCTGGCTCGTTATCTGCGCTGATGACTGAACGTCACAGCCAATAACATCACCTTCATCCAACACACACACACTGATGTCAACACGTCCCTCTGAGCCATTCCCACAATGCACCAGGCCCCCAGACTCAAACAGCAGGCTCCTGACACTCTGACGCCTGCGGCACGTTTTCTGGAGGAGCGCAGGCCGAGTCCGGCATTAAAACAGTTCCCCTCGAAGGCTCGGCTCTTTAAATGTTCAATGGTTCCAGTGTTGAGTTTTCTGTCAGTCAAAGATGGCCGCCACAGGCCCCTCACTCTGGGCGCGTGGGTTTATTCAAATGCTGGAAACTTTTTACTCAAGAACTCCAACTGTGGGATTTCCTGTTCCACTGAGGGCGCTATCGAGCCCGCCCAGAATAAAGGGGGCTCTATTTTTGGCTAAATGTTTTTCTTCTGTTTATCCTCGAGACAGTAGGGTGTCCAAATTCCTGAGGACCCGGCCCACGTAGACCGCGAAGGCGGTTTATCTAATCTAATAACTTTAATCTCAGCCAAACCGATTTACTCACGAACAAATAAAACACTGAAAAAAGCCCAACAATAACATTTTTAGGTTGTCTAAGTGACTTA